CCAGTGCTCCGTATATACTAGAGCTCTGCTAATTGAAGCAATTCTACACAGCCAAACTAATCACATTATAATGAGTCTGAAACTGTCCAAAAGTCACCTTGAAGAGATACAAGAAATCATCTACAAAGCCTTGTGGAAGAAAAAAAATAACGAGGATGCATACGTGGAAGGTAGACATAAAATTGCCAAAAGAAAGGACACACGCTCCGATTAGAGTGGGAGGATTAAACATGAGAAGAACTAAAATAAAAGCGGAATGTCTGTACTTTGATTCAGGAATTATACACATTAGGAAATTTTACAATGAAGAAGCACCAAGAATGATAATAAAAAACTTCAATAGACTCCTGGAAACCGATGCCATGCAAGTAGATGATCTACTAACAATGGGATCAAGAAAACTCAAAGATCTGAGCAAAAGAAAAACCGACCTGGCAAGAATATACACAGACACAATAGCACAGCTAGCTGAGATAACTCAGGAATGGGAAGAAAATCAAGACACATGGGAAGCATCAGCCATCGGAGGATCTGTCTATGATCACCCATTTGCTCTCACAAGGATCGAAAGACTCGAACTCAAAAGAGCAGGATTCACGACCGTCAGCCAACTATTCTTAACGGATGAGCAGAGATCATTCGAGAAAACAGTCACAATATACCAAATCAAAGCATACAAATGAAGATCACTAATATTATCAAGAATATCAAGAACAAGAGAAGAGAATTCAGGAATGCCCCCCTTACCAAGAATCATCTAGAAGCAATACTTATTGAAAAAAAGATCACATTATCAAAGTACATGAAAGACAAAGAAAAAAGGAAACAAGAACACAAATGGGACAATGCTCTGTCTAGACAAACAAGAATCAGAGATTGAATTAATATTCCAGAGAAAGAAGTTTACAATCAAGCATACAAGAAGAACTACAAATCCAACTTCTCAGAATATCAGAAAGCTCTTAACCTTTCTATACTGAACAGGACTACATGGACAAAATCAAAAGCATTCAAGTCTGGAAAGGAAGATAACAACAAATGTGAAAAATGTGATCAAGTTGAAACAGTCGAACATCTATTTTTAGATTGTGATGAATATGCATACAAGATATGGGAAAACCTTCAATTCATTGTCCAAGAAACAAAGTCAAACCCAGGAGTAATAAATATAACACAGGAAAACATCATCTACATGAAGGAAATCCCACTCTTAACGCACTTGGAGAATGAACAACTGTCAGAAATCATCCAAGAAGTCAAACAACAAACCTATTCATCTAGAAGAAATGAGAGACAAACTTATGAAGCCATCAGTAGGAATGCTCATCTCAGAAAAAGCATGATCCAAATAAAAAAATTCAGAGAAGCAAACTCAAGAGACATCAGCTTTTGAAAAAAACTAATTGAAGCAAATGACAGAAGAGCCTAAACAAATTAAAACTACACCATGATTATACCCAGGAATAGTCTTGTCTGTGAATACATTATTCATAAGAATGATATAGAGTAAAGATTTATCATGCCGTGCAGAGCAGAGAAAGCCAGACCGCTCAGTAGCTCACTAAACATGGAGAGAAGAACAATAACAAATGCAGTCATTACTGCATTTATTGTAATCATGCACAACAACGATTCCAACGGAATGGCAGTGAATTGGAAACACAACACGGACATTCTTCGTGGAGAAAAGCATGCAATACCAAAGATTGTTGAGATTCCAATGGTAGATACCATCGAGAAAGTTATTGTAACACTTGACTATGGCACTATTGAGTGAGAAGTACAAGGACTTCAAGCGGCGTCAAAGCTCTCTAGTATACATTATGATCATCATCAACCACAGATACAAAAAATGCAACACAGACTCCGGATTCTAAAACAGCAGATTAACTATCTACAGTGTGACAATAAATCAGTAACCCAAGAACAAAACAAACGAGCAAGAAGATCTACTTTTGTCTCATCACTCTTCGGAGTCGCCACTGAAGGAGATTTACAGATTGCAAAAGGAAAAATCAAAAGGACACAGCAAATGATGTCATTCCTAATTTCACATGAATCCTCCTTCACGAGGAACATCGAATCTCTAATTGAAGGGGAAGAGAGCCTCAGTGAAAGAAATCAGGAGCTTTCTGGGCTCCTGTACAAACAGATGAAGGAAGCTACCCTGGTTCTGATGGCTGATGAGACGGACAAGCTCTTGAACGAAGCTGAAGAAGCTTTCTACAGCTACAATGGAATAATGCCAAACGAAATAATAAAAGTAGTGAGCAGATATGGAATAGGGCTTAACCAAGATCAAGCTATCAGACCTCATAGTTTACGAAATTACATGACTCCTTAGTAAAACTTGAATTCAACCTCATCAAGACAAAGCGAATTAAGGCTAAGATTCTAAACCATCAAACGGTACAAATAGGTCAGCTCCTCACCATCATGCAAAAAAACGATCAGCAAGCCGTTATTGAATGCATGTGGACGTCAGATCTGAGATGTGTTGGAAGAGCAATCAGACATAAAAATATTCTGACAGCACGAGGAATGAAAAATGTAACATTAAGCATCAGAACTACTAACCAACAATCACATAGGCAATGTGAAGCAACAAACGAAGAACTCAAAACCAACTGCAGAACGAAGAGCAACTTCAATGCAAGATCAGTGATTAAAGGGTTCCTAACAACAGAAACCGGCATTGACATTCAATGTCAATTTGAAACCCCTCACCCTGATACTGTTTTTCAGATCCAGGGATTGGAAATTGTGCTGCAAGATGAAGAAAGGAAACAGGAAATGGAGGAGATGAAAGCTCTTAGAAACACGGTAAGAAGATAGATTTCTCCTCCCAGAAGGAACATCTGAAATCTATGGAACAGGTAATACACAAAACTTCCTGCAGGCTATAATGGAATCGAAATCATCGCTCTTACTGGAGTAGCTATCCTCCTAGTTATCAGGTGTGGAGAATGCTTATGGCTCAGAAAAGGAAACAAATAGCTAATGTCATAAGATCTAGCGAGCTGGTTAATCAACCAATTGGAAAATATTGTGTCTTCTTTCCTTCTTATTCAACAATCAGGACAACTAATATAATCTTATGATCAGAAAAGTATCTATATAATGGAAATTAATAAATGATAAATTGTATGCTTTGTGTCTCATTAAAATCAGAAAAAAAAAGAGAACTAAGGAAGAAATGGAATTAATGAAGGAATCAGAGGATGTGAGTACATTATATAAGGATAAAATAGGATTAGTCAAACTAAAAGAATCAATAATATATATCCCAACAAAGTAATTAATAATAAACTAACACTACTAACACATCCTTTCTAACTTTCTCCATCGTAAAATGTCTTAAATCATTTCCTAAATATCTCTAAATTCTTTTTTTTTCCTTTTTCTTCTCCAAGAACTAAATGAGAACTTAAAATTAAAATACTCTTGCTTCACCTCTATTAAAAAAATATAATTCTTCATTATTTCTTTTTCATTCACTTATTATTGTATAAACACAATTCATGAAGCAACAAAAAAAAAGCAAACTTAAACGATAAACCATTCTAAAAAATAAAGATATTCTCTTTATCAGTTTTGCATCATACTTGTTGCAATCTAGTGTGTTTGATGTATATAGATTTTTAAACATATTACAGTTATTTTAATAATAATTAAAACTAATTCCTAACAGTTAATGATGTCTTTTCTTCCATTTACACAATTCAAAATTCTTTATTTTATTTTACAAGAAGATTGAGGGGAATGTATTCTGGCCGGAGTGTTGTGTTTTTGTCAAGCAATAGACTAATGATGGGCACTGATGAACATCTCATTTGCACAGGCTGATCCAATTAAAGTGCAGAAAGGATAGCACTAGTAAGTAAGGAAAAGTTAAGTAGGAGAATTTAAGAGAGAATCTTTTATTGAGCCAGTGAATACAGAGAACAAAAAAGATAGGAAAGGTTAGATGGAAGAGAAAAGACAAAAGAAACCAAATCAATTCTTAAAAGGAAAAAATGTTTTCCTTATTTCTTTCTTTTTACTTTTCATGACTGACTGAGAAAAGGACAAAAGAACATAACTCAATTATGTTTGAAAATCCAGCTTTCTACAAGTCATTGGCAAATCAACGCTTCATGCGATTATTAAAAATCATATTATTAACCAAACCAAATAGTTAAGCCTAAGGATAAAAAGGAAGCAAGATCAGCCCACGCAAAATAAGTGTTCACTATGGTTTACAGGGTTACCCATAGTTTTGACTTTTAACTAATCTTGAGCAGAACAAAATAATAGAAAGACTTTGATAACAAACTGGAAATAGATTTATTGATATTTTGTTTTTATTTGTATGCGTGAGCTTGTGCCCACAACCCTTATCCAAAAATAAATTATTAAAGTTAAAAAACAGGTTACACAGAAAGGATAAGGATGAGACTTCAGTCATGACTTGAAAAATAACTTGGTCTTACATTTGTAGGTTTTTTCTTACTTTTAGTGAAATACTGTTTTCAAGTCTTGAAACCAAATTCTACCTTTGAAAAACCAAGCTTCATACCATAATTAAAGTTTCATGCATTGTGTATGTACAGTTAACTTTTAACCCTATAAAGGTAGGGGGGTCTGAATATATGTATAGCTGGGTGGGAATCCCGGCCCCTAGAAAAAATGTCTTAGAGAATAGGAATAGGTATAGGGTTGAAATACATGTTCATAACCCAATTGTTCAAGGTCAGCTCATTAAAAAAAAATTAGAACAATAACTTTAATAGTTTGGGTTCTAGGTAGGGTTGAAAACAATGCAAAAAAAGGGTAAGAAAAATGAAAAAAAAAATTTTTGTTTTAAACAAATATCAAAGTGTGACATCCATTTTTCAAGGGCTTTTCAAAAATAGATCTGTCTAAAATGAGAATCGTTGGACAAAAAAACTACAAGAGCGGGAGGNTTTCTATGGTTAAAATGAATTTATTCCAAACTTTAAAATATGAATTAAAATCAGAACTACCATGACAACACATGTATCAGGTGACTTAAATAGACAATTTGTTTTAAAAAGTCTATTTTAATTGAAATTAAAACTCCTTTTCTTGTTTTATAAATTTCATAAATTCCTTAACTTATTAATAACTATTTTTAGTTTATGTAATGATGAAGAAATTTGATATTATTTTTCAGTTGTATCTTGTACCAATTCACAAAATAAAATAGTTTGTGAAAATACTTGTATCATATGCCTTTTGTAAACTTTTTAACAAGAAAACAAGTTAAGATTAATTAAATAAATTAATATTTAAACTTTGTGGATTAAACATTTCTTTAAACCATTGTGGATTCTACTATGAAGAGAGATATATTTTGATTATTGGTTGGTCAAGCCATAAAAATAAGCAAAAAATAAGCATCAGACAATAAAATACATGAGGCACAGAGACGGTTTTGTGGGGCATGGAAGCAATTCTGCTAATCAGGAGGCTCTCAAGGTCTCTTCATATAAGGCTCAATGCAGCACTGCAACCCCTCCAACTTTAATCACTATGTTTGATTGGAGAACAGACAATTGAATCAAACAGTAGGAGAACTTGTTGGTCTAATTCAGTTTCTACGTTTACAAAATATTTCCTTCCTTTTACACTCAAAAAAAATATTTTTTCTGCTCAGGAGGTCAAAGTAGGTGAACTAATCATTTTTTTCCTTTACAGACCTATAAAAAAATTGAGATTTAAGTTTTTGAAAAAAGTGGAAAAAAATCTAAAATATGAGGAAACGGACTTAAAATTTGAGGAAGCCTATCTTAAATATGAGGAAACAGATCAATCTTTAATTTTTTGAAAAAAGAGGAAACAGATCTAATATAAGGAAGCAGACCAAAAGTTTGAGGAAACCAATCATCAAATTGAGATTTTTAAAGTTTTAAAAAAAAAGGGGAAACAAATCATAATTATGAGGAAACGGACCTAAAAGTATGAGGAAACCAACTAGGGTTTCCATTCGCAAAACTTTTGCACAATTTTTGCAGAACGGAAGGCAAAATTTTTCTTTCTTTGCGCATCAGTTTTGCGCGAAAAAACAACAATTTGCGCAATCATTCGCAAAATTGCCCTATTCTGCTTTTGCGAAACTCAAGTTTTGCGCAATTCCACAACTAGAGTTTTGTGCAATTTCGTAAAAATCGAACGGTTGTTGACAGTGTGTGTTTCTTATAATTCAATTCTGGAAAAATCTTGTTTAGGAATGTCTTCCTATTGGTCACGTTTACAGAATTGACCAATGACAGTTAAGAAGAGTTCAAATCTCACAATTTTCTCGACAATTTTAGTTTTGGACATTCATATTTCCTAAAAGTGGATTTTTCAGGCATTGGTTACTTTCTTGCATTATTTTATACGAGATTAAAAAGATTTCATATATTTGATTAAAAAATCTTAAGAATATATAATTCATACTTGATTAGGCAAAGCTTTTAAGGGTCACTTGAAATTATTTAATAGGATTAAAATATTGCCAAGTTTCACACTCTTTAATTTCTAATTTAATAATTTTGGTCCCTTAATTTAAACTTTTTGTAACTGAAAGTAACCAATTGAGTATAGTATAATCGTTATCATACCTGTATGTTAATATTTTTTTATGTATGGATTAAATCTTCAGTTGTTTAATTCTAAGCTTAGAATATCAATTTTTGACAATTTGCCTAAAAGTTACATTTTGCATAAAACTTGCAGTTTTGCGCAAAACTTAACTTTTGCAAAAAATATTTCCGGTTTTGCTCAAATTGTGCAAACAAAATAGCGCAAAACCGCGCAAAACTCATTGTGTTTCATGCGCAAAAACAGCGCAAAAGTTAGCTAAAAAAATATTTGCGCAAAAATAGCGCAATTGCGCAAAAGATTTAGCCATTTTGTGGAAACCCTAAAATAAGACAAACCATTCAACTATAAATATTGATCTTAAAATATTCGGAAATCCCTCAACAATTGTGAACTTTTGAGGTATTTCCTTGAAATTCTAAAATAAAACTAAAATTCCTCTAAAGCAATTTTAGATCCATTTCCATGTCGAGGTGTTTCCATGCCACCACTATTTTTAATATACTTTTCTATTATTTCTTATGTTTAGATTCCAACCGCGTATATCAGAGACTGCTTATATTCACATTGTAAAGGGTACAGGATGCAGTAGTTCTATTGGTAGAACCGGTTCTGCACAAGCTGTCTCCCTGGGTAATGGGTGTGTCTACACAGGTCAGAGAACACGCATGCCAATGCCCACCTTACAACTGTACCCTTTAAACCCTTTAAACTGTTATATCTAATTAGTAAAGTGAACTATTTAAATTCTGCAATTGAAGATGATCAGTTTTCAAAATTTTAAACATTGATATGTAATTCATACTTGATCAGAGAGAACCATGGTTATTTAGGCATTGCCATCTAGGGCTGGGCTTGTTTTAAATTTTTTTTAATCGTTCCGTTCCATTATAGAACGAGGGCCTTCAGCTAAATCATTCCATTCTTGTTCCTTTTTTCTTGTATCATTCCATTCCGTTCTGTTCTGTCCCATTCTGTTCCGTTCTGAGTAGAAGAACGGTCTTCCCATTCCGTTCCGTTCTTGGCGTTCTTATTTAAAGAACGGTTCCATCCCTCTCGTTCCTTTCTTAGTCAAAGAATGTTTCCATCCCCCCGTTCCGTTCTTAGTATAGAACGATTATTAAAACCGGGTTATACCTTAAAACAAGGGGGTTTACAATTTGGAGATTTTTGAAAAATATTTAATTTTCATAATCAATATTTCAATAATATCAAAAAGATATAGAAATAAACTATAGAAAACAATTTCTTTCAACCTAAATTCTCCCCCCCCCCCTCTCCTTTTTCCCCTTTCAGCACCCATTCCTTTTCTCCCCCCCCTGCTGGCTAAACTTACTTACGCTTGTAACACACGCTTGTAACACATACTTAAGCATAATTATATTCTTACGCTTTTATAACCGTATTTTTTCCCTTTTACCCCTCCTTACTTACCTATCTATATTATTGTGTCTAATGTCATTTACAATAATATATCTCGTCATTTACAATATTCAATTTCGGTTCACTACATACAGAGAAAATCTGAACTGGAAACACATTCCTGATTTAAAATGCGTTCCCAACTTAGAACGAGTTCTTGAAAATAAGAACGCGTTAACAATTTTAACTGTTCTTTTCAAGCAATTCCAGTTCCGTTCCGTTCCGTTCTTTTACTAATCATTCCAAAATTTTTAAGAACGCGTTCTAAGTGTTCGTTTTTGTTTTGGAACCATGGGATCGTTTTTGATCATTCCGTTCGTTCTCGGGAAAGAACGATCCTTCCACCAGGAACGTGCCCAGCCCTATTGCCATCTTTGCATGGAGGGTCACATGATATCACAAATGTGTCCAGCTAGCCACTTTAATTTTGAGATAGGTTAGAATTTATAAGACCCCATAGTACAGTTCCAAATCCACAACATCTCTATTTTCAGGAATTGTTATGCATGAGCTTATGCACGCCACTGGATTCTGGCATGAACAGAGCCGAGCAGACAGGTTTACCAATTAAACCTTGTCTTGCTAATTTTTCTTTTCTTTGGTGAAAAATCCAAATTAAGATCAGAGTTTGAAGCTAAAGAATGGGCGAAATTTAAGTTATAGCTTAAAAGTTCTGTAAAATAATGAGTTGCTACTTGAATATTAAACTTTTTCAATTACTGCAAACACTGCAGGGAAATTTGAATTTCCTGGGAAAAATCTGAACCCAATAGAGAAAAGCATTTACAAACGAAGATATTAGGTAACCATTGCTCATCAGCTGTTTTTTTTTTTACTTTGAATTATTTATGTAACCGAAAACAAAACGTATTTCCAGTAACAACCCTTTTTTGGCTTTACATGCAAACATTAATTAATCTAAAATGTGAAATTTATTCAAGCAAGGTTTTCACTTTTAAATATATCTTAAAGTTGAATGCCTCTTTCTCAGCTGAATGATGATTGATTTATAGACAAATTAGGAAATGCAAGATTTCAAGATCTTAACCCTGGATTTAAATTTTAACTCTTTGATTTTGGGGTTTAAATTCAGGTTTAAATTAAGTCAGAAGTAACATTTAAGCTGAAGCTTAACATTTAAGTTGTAACTTTTAGTTCTTCAGTTTTAGAATTAAATGTAATGAAATTCAAAAGTGCAGTTTAAACTGAGATGTAAGAAATAGTTTTGAAGCCTTTTACTCCTATTTTTTTAATCAATTAAAATTATTGTAAAAACCAAGGGCGGGCCACAGAGAAATTATACACCGTACAAATAAGAATTTGTTAATGCACAACAAACTCAGTTTTGGGGACTAAAGACTGGTTTAGCCATATGTTCACCAACAATCTTAATTGGCTTAGTTCGAAACAATATCCACAGTTTCAACATTAGAGGGGGTGGAATAGGGATGGCTCTATTCTATTTAACACAGATCTTTTACATTTTCCCTTGTCTGTTTAAATGTCCATTTATTGCCTATTTGAATACTTGCTTTTAAATTTTAAGTTTCCATTCAAATCCACATTTAGATGCCTTTGTTGAAAATTGTAACCACCATACATACATTAGCACAGCCCCAGAAACTGAGTTTTTTGTGAATAAATATTTTGGTGTATTCCAAGTACTTAATTCTCATAACTATCTCATCAAGCTTGTCGTTTTCAGAGATAACCACATCAGGATCAACTGGAGTAACATCATTAAAGGTATAGAAATGATCACACGCTATACTAGCTACTCTAAGGTTGTCTTGGACCTTTACATAAATTATATTATTTTCTCTAGGTTACTTCAATTTCTTGAATTATATAAAGATTAGTATTTCTGTGAAATTTGCAGATCTAATCTTGGTCCCACTTACAAATCCTTGTTTACAGGGATGGAATTCAACTTCTTGCGTTACAACTTAAACAAGATTGATCATCTTGGTGCTGATTATGATACCTGCTCTATTATGCACTATGGAGAATATGCCTTTAGCAAGGTAAAAAGGACTAAATTCAATTGAGAAACAAGGAAGCCCTCAGCCAAAAATTTATTTAATCTTACCTTTGATGAGAAGTCTGACCCTCACCTAGCGCTCCTGTAGGTCACACCCCACATGTGTTCAGCTAATCACATTGGCTCCTGATTGACTAGCATGACATCACTTATCATCAAGATTTCCAATCAACCAATATGTTAGGTTTACTTGGTACTGAGTTTTTGACCTTTCAAACTATTTTTTTTTCCAAAGGTTCAAAACCAAAAATCAAAACTGTAATCACAGCTATGAACAAAATGTTTGTTGACTAGGCCCGAGACCCAACCATTGTACCCTTAAAGCAGGGTAAATGTCAACTAGGACAAAAAGAAGGATTTTCAGACACAGACATCAGGAAGCTCAACACTTTTTACCAGGTGATAAAAATGTTGGATGATTTTATGAAGCTTAAAGGAAGTGTTTACGAAAAAAAGAAACAGGGTTTAGGCTTATGTTGAAAAATATTCAGTGCGGATTGCTAATAATCCTACTCCTAGTTGTTAAACGACGATTTTTTGTGTCTTTGCTACTTGGAACCAAGCAAAAACAACAGAAGCAGAGACACCTGGCATCCAACAAATCACATTTAAATTAAAAACAAATAAAGAATATCATGAAACTTATTAACTTTATATGAATGCATTAAAAAAAACGATGATTAAAGATTGTAATATCTGATTTTTTTGCCAATACTCCTTTTAAGGTTCAAAAGTAATAATGCAATTTTGTTGGAAACAATAGCATATAATTTACAAACTAAACTCCATTGCATGATTTGTTATCCAGATGATGCATAAATATTGTTGTGGTAACCCTGAAGATGGAGTAAATGATATGCTATGTACATATGGTAGATCAATATATTCTCTAAAAAACGGCCCTATAGTATATTCTAGCCACAGCACTCAGCCCCCTAACCTGTCCTAGCTGTAGCAATCAGCACAAATATTGTCTTAACCTAACCTTACCCCACAGAATTTGATAAAAGAGGAAACAAATTTAAGTTTTTAAAGTTTTTTTGAAAAGCAGTAACTCCTCAAAATTTTGCGTAAACCCCTCAAAAAAAATAGCGAAAACACCTCAACTAAGTAGAGTCTTTCAAAAAAAAACGGAAACAAAAGTATGCCTGATGGTATACATTTTACGAAATTGTTAGTTATGGAAAATTTGTATCCATTTTTATATATTGTAACTTTCCTTTTTATAATTCTTTAATTCCCCCCCCCTTTAGGATCTCCTAGGGGAGGGGGAAAAGTTTGAACTGTAAATTCAGATACTTTAGAGGTACAGTCCAATCACCTTGCAAATACTACTTTATTCCTCCTTTAAACAAAACTTTGTAAACTTAAAAGGGAAAATTAGGTCACAGCACTGAAATAATATGTTTTTTTTTGAGGTGGGGGGACTCCCCTCTGTTCTTCAGTCTTCACTCTTCAGTTTAAGATTTGAAAATAAAATTGTGATAGCTCTGAGTTCTAGGAGGGGCACTGCCCCCCCTTGCCCCCCTGTATATGCCCTTACTACTTAAGGATAAATGATCATTAATCAATGTTAATATTTTAGTGCTCTGGCTACCCACAAGTTGATAACTCTGTGACTAAACCTGAACCAACAACTACTGTGAAACCTTGGGTCAAACCTAAGTGTGAAGATCAAAACCAGTAAATACTCTTAATATATATCAATATGCTAACACTATATAAGCGTGTAAAAATTCCTTGAGAAAGTTTGCTAAGCTAATTATAGCAATCAATAGAATGTGATTGGCATGTCAATAAATATCTGTTCAGGTACTGTACCATGTGGGCCAAGGCTGGTGAGTGTAAACAGAATCCCAGGTGGATGTTGGTGTACTGTCCATTTGCTTGCAATCAGTGCAAGGTATCAATGTAAATATATATATTTTTCTTGATTGTATCTAAAATAAAATGTCGAATTGACTGAACCAATCGGGCCCAATTTTAGGGGTAACTAACATAATTGTAGGGAATGATTACACAAAAAAATTTGCCTGTAAAAAATGTTGTAAGATATTATTCCTTCAAAGTCAAAAAAGGTAAAAGAGAGAAATCTATTAAATAAGACATGACTATTTAAGTCCCAACAAGCTAAATCACATTGTACATAAATTAGATAATGTTCATTTTTAGGAACAGTATCATTTGTTGACGTCATTTATTAACATTACAGGAATGAGAAAGCATACCCCAACAAACAAAAACCTGTGGAGTACATAAGATTTTCTGGTGTATTTGACAATAGTGGCCTGTGAAGAAGCCGTGATTTTTCATGTGTTGTTGAGGTGAATGTCGATGATTTGATCACGGGCATTACATTACTCATGATTAACACTTTGAAAATATTCGAGATCTTGCACTGGTATCTTTTGCTACGAGCACAACATGTAAAAAAACGACAAGAATTGAACTATAGAAGTATCTCAAATATATTACACGTGATAATTACGAGAATTAAAATCTAAAAATTCTGGCATAGCATTACTTGTGTTTAACACGATAGGAGTATGCAAGATCTTGCTCTGGTTTATTTTGCTACATGTACAACATGTGAAATAACGACGAGAATTTTCAAAGAATATTTTTGCGTGCTGTACACAGGAGGATTCTTCAAGAGTATAACACATGGAGGGTCCATGAATTAATCACGTGAATTATCAACCAGTTCTCCATCATGCTAATATCGTTGAAAACCTGTGTTTTGTTTGTTGGGGTCCGGTGACCTAAAACCTGAGCTCCGAGCAGGCTGAAGTATAGTTGACTCTGAATCTGATTGGTTTAATTTTGATTTTTTTCATCATTTCTTGGAATTGTTTCTTGAAATTTAACGAAATAATGAAATAGCTCGAAATAACTAAATAGCAGGAATGAAAGAAATACGCAAATACCAAGATTTTCTTCAGAATTTGCGCGAAATAGCTTTTGCACTTCAATGCGCAAAAACATCGAAATTTCATGCAATTTTTACTCGAAATGTAAGCAAATCTTTGCACAATTTTTGCATGATTTTCATGCAAAAAATGTTGACTGGAAACCTTAATCTGTAGGAAGGGCGGAAATGAAACAGGAGGACATTTGGTTTAAAAATGAAGGAGCTAAAAAATAAAAACCTTGCCTTGTCAAAATTGACCGTCTCGTCACTAATGGATTAACCCTATCTCTGCTGGGGTACTTGAAAACCAGGATATGCTGGGGGGGGGGTCAATTTAACCCCCCCCCCTCTAAATCCCATGTTTGATGTCCAAATTTGACAAATGATACATCATTAGAAAGCTCTTGTGCTCTACTTTTAGAATCTGCAAAAAAATTTGCAAATTTGCAAAAATTGAATTTTTTATCGCAAAATCCAGTTATAAAGTAAAAATGTTTGCAAAAAAAATTGTCCAAAAAATTAAAAATTATACATTTTTGAAAAGCCCTTGACCATGCCATTTTAAATATGCAAAAAATTTTGCAAAATTTTAAATAACCTGATTTTTAATCAAGAAAAACTAAAAATGTGCAAAATTCCTTTGACAGGTTGTTTGCAAAAAATTTGCAACTTTTTTTTTGCAAAACTTCTGCAATTCGTTTCCTTATGTCATAGGCTTTTTAAAAAGCTAAATTTTATCAAAATCTGACAAGTGGAAGTGGGTCAAAACAAAGATTTAGTTAGTTACAGGAAAAGCAGTCATTCAGGCAGTGTGCCTGAGGACTCATGCAGTTAGTATTAAAGACCGGTTTTAAGCCTAAAGGGAGGGCTTTGGGTATGTAGGAAAAGTCAGAAAATTTCAACAGCCTTAGACCAATACTTTTTGAGTTATGTAAAAAAACTACAGGGGGGGTCAAATTGACCCCCCTCCCCCAGCAGGAATAGGGTTAAAGATATCCTATTCTAAAGTTTTCAGCTCGGTTAATTCTGAATATTGTTAAAGTGAGGAGCGCTTTTACAATATTTTTTAAAAATTATTCAAACAGCCGGAACTATCTGGATTTGGAAAAATTTAAACTTAGACAGAGTCTTCATCTAAAATTTAATCATTATAAAATAAAAAGAAACAGGGTATAGGCTTATGTTGAAAAATATTCAGTGCGGATTGCTACTAATCCTACTCCTAGTTGTTAAACGACTTTTTGTGTCTTTGCTACTTGGAACCAAGCAAAAACAACAGAAGCAGAGACACCTGGCAACCAACAAACCACATTTAAAATAAAAACAAATAAAGAATATCATGAAAATTATTAACTTTAAATGAATGCATTAAAAAAAACGATGATTTAAGATTGTAATATCTGATTTTTTTGCCAATACTCCTTTTAAGGTTCAAAAGTAATAATGCAGTTTGGTTGGAAACAATAGAATATAATTTACAAACTAAACTCCATTGCATGATTTGTTATCCAGATGATGCATAAATATTGTTGTGGTAACCCTGAAGATGGAGTAAATGATAAGCTATTGTTGACCTTTAAAAAAGGTCAAAAATATTCTAATAAAGAAATCAGAAAAAACCAAATATTCTATAACATTTATTTATGAAAAATAATATTGTTTTGAAATATTTGACCAAGACATAAAGATTGCAAATTGGTTGGTTAAGAAATTAATAAAGGAAAACGACAGACATCAGCAGCAACTTCATAAAAAAAATTTGCCTGTAAAAAATGTTGTAAGATATTATTCCTTCAAAGTCAAAAAAGGTAAAAGAGAGAAATCTATTAAATAAGACATGACTATTTAAGTCCCAACAAGCTAAATCACATTGTACATAAATTAGATAATGTTCATTTTTAGGAACAGTATCATTTGTTGACGTCATTTATTAACATTACAGGAATGAGAAAGCATACCCCAACAAACAAAAACCTGTGGAGTACATAAGATTTTCTGGTGTATTTGACAATAGTGGCCTGTGAATAAGCCGTGATTTTTCATGTGTTGTTGAGGTGAATGTCGATGATTTGATCATGGGTCTATGACCGAGATTTACACAAAGAAACCTTAAGTTTATTTCACAAGATGTGCACAGGATTTTTACATGAGAAAATTAATTTTCTCACATCTACTTAAATTACATTTTAAAAAGGGGGGGGGATATATAATTGATTTCTGATATATAAATATATTATAAAATATACTGTGTAAAAGTATATAATTATTAAAAAATGTTTAGAAACTAAACATTTTAGTTTATATTTTTCACATTAAACATCTTGAACATGTAAACTTTAAACTTTTCATATCACAAAGTGATATTTTAAGTCTAAATAATGTTCAAATATGTTAATGTGTTCATAATTATAAGAATGCTCCTAACTCCATATATCTAAAAGATCGATTTTCCAAAAAGGGGTTGTTAAGAAATACAATACAAAATTTAATGTGAAACTTTTCTATACATTCTGCTCATGCTTGTTAAAATCTGAAAAATTTATGCCAATTAAAATATTTCATTTTACTACCATAAACTTTTAGTTTCTAAAAGATGAGCAGAGACACTAAGTGTTGTGATTTTACAACTCTATTAACCCTATCTCTGCTGGGGTACTTGAAAACCAGGATATGCTGGGGGGGGGTCAATTTGACCCCCCTCTCTAAATCCCATGTTTGATGTCCAAATATGATAAATGATACATCATTGGAAAGCTCTTGTGCTCTACTTTTAGAATCTGCAAAAAAATTGGCAAATTTGCAGAAATAGAATTTTTTATTACAAAATCCAGTTATATAGTAAAAATGTTTGCAAACAAAAATTTGTCCAAAAAATGAAAAAATTATACATTTTTGAAAAGCCCTTGACCATGCCATTTAAAATATGCAAAAAAATTTTGCAAAATTTTAAATAACCTGATTTTTAATCAAGAAGAACTAAAAATGTGCAAATTTCCTTTGACAGGTTGTTTGCAAAAAATTTGCAATTTTTTTTCGCAAAACTTGTGCAATTCCTTTCCTTATGTCAAAGGCTTTCCAAAAAGCAAAATTTTATCAAAATCTGAAAAGCGGAAGTGGGTCAAAACAAAGATTTAGTTTGTTACAGGAAAAAGAGTCATTCAAGCAGTGAGAGTTTGTGGCAAAAACACATTTCCCACGATAGTTTCAGAAGAAGCAAATATTTCCATTTACTGTTAGCGCCGATTGAAGGATTCATAACTTTGATTGGATAATGATATAGATAGAAAGATAGATGTTACCGCCATACTATTTCTATTTGTCCAGAATAGACAACAAACACATAACTGAACCCTGATTGGATCAGGCGCTAATGGACTCGGCATACAGGAGTGTTACTTTAAGCGGCAACTCAAATTCTTTAAATTCGGTATCAGTTCAGAATCATGCCCCTGCCAGTGCCTTATTCTTTCATCTACTACTTGGCCCATCAGTTGTGGAAGAAAATAAACAATGCATTTAATTTGGTTTAATTATAAATCCAGATAAATTATGATGTATTGTGAATGTTAGATAAACTAGCTAGCAGTAGTATAGTATAAAAATAAACCTAGCATATAATTTGGTTTAATTATAAATCCAGATAAATTATGATGTATTGTGTTAGATAAACTAGCTAGCAATAGTGTAGTATGAAAATAAACAGTGCATTTAATTTGGTTTAATAATAAATCCAGATGAATTATGATGTATTGTGAATGTTAGATAAACTAGCTAGCAGTAGTGTAGTATGAAAATAAACTAATTATAAATCCAGATAAATTTAATGTATTGTGAATGTTAGATAAATTATGTTTTTTGTTAATTATATCAATTGTTATCATATCTTAAATTATTTACAAATATTTTGTTATTATAACATGTGTTTTTAAACCTTCTGTTACTGACCCAAAAAACATAATTTTTACTTACCCCGACCAACCAAGAGGATCCTAGTTTCTTTCTTAATAGTAAAACATATTTTATATAAAAACAATTTTTTTACTCCATATA